TGTCTGTGTGTGTGTGCCACAGCACACCTGTGGGGGTCCAGACACCTTGCAGGAGTTGTTCTCTCCTTCCATCTGGGGCTGAAGGGCCCAGACTCAGGCTGGCAGTCTTGTGACAAGTGCTTTTAACCTGCGGACCCACCTTGAATTAATTTGATTGAGACAGAGACTTTCCATGTGGCTCAGGCTGGCCTGGAATTCACAATCCTCCTGTCTCCGCCTCCCAGGTGCTGGGATTTCAGGTGTGCGTCGCCACTCCCCGCTTCGGATCTTCCGAATATTTCATTCTCTGAGAGGAGGCACTGGGTACCGGAGGGGTGTTGCGGGGACAGGCGGGCAGTAGGCAGCTGATCCCGGAACAGAAAGCCGCTCGCTTGGGAGGATGGCTCTAGGCCAGTCAGGTTTCCCAGCCGGAGCTCTGATGGTGCTTGGGGCTGCCCTGTGCATAGTACGGGGCTGAGCCACATCTCTGATTTCAACCGGTTAGGTACCACGCTCCCTAAGTCGTGACAACCAAGAAGGTATTGTCACACATCCCCCTGGGGAGCAGAAATGCCCTGCTCGACAGCTCCCATGCCCACACTCTTATTTCCAAGGTGATGCAGGATATTTATCTTTGCATCCTAATCGATCTTTCCTGCCTCAGTATTATATTCTGAGGTTAGATAGGGTTGGATTACCCACCCAGCTCTGCTGCTGTGTGAATTGAGCCTCCCTGAACCTCTGTCTTGTTATTGAGAACAAACATCAGCCTCTCATACACAGAGCGGTAAGAAGTCTTACCCCAAGAAGGTCCAGGCCATTGTACGCCCTTGACTACATTGATTTCCTCCCAGGACAGCGCCGCCTGGCCTTGTGGCCCAGCAGCTGGCTGGGCTAGCACCTCTGGTGTTGATTGCTACTCGAAGCCATTTCCAAACCACCGTGGAACATTTCGGCCCTCACCCTTGTCCTTCTGTGTAAGGTCAGGGCTTAGCGTTGGGCCGGAGGCACAGCACTTAGGAAGTTCTCCTTCAGTTGGCTCCAATGCCAGGGGAAGGTCGTCTGTCTGGAGCCAGCGTTGGTTGGCCTCCAGCATTGTCAAAAAAGAATCAAAATAACCCTGTGCCTGGAGATGGCGCCTGGATCAAGGCCAGCCCTGCAGCCTCGCCTGTTTCCTTGATGGTATTCAGGGATGCTCGCGGCCTGCCTGATGAAGGGATTCCGTCACCAGCCTAAAATCAAAGTGATGTCACAGATGGTTCTGGGCCCCAAATGGAGTTTTTCTTTATGTGGCGTTTCCATCGACTCACAGGAGCTGGAAGGTTTGTGTGTCTGTGGGAGGGGTCAGGCTTTCTGACGCAGGATGACGTCAGCCTGTCAGGGAAGGTCCAGGAGGATAGAGTTCAGATGGGGGCTTCATGGAGTGGGCTCAGTGAGTGGTTGCCGCTCCTCTTGGTTAAGGAGCAGGTGGACTGTGATTTTTGTGGTGTGGTTATTAATTCGGCGTGCACCACATGTCACACTGAGCCCTTTCCTTTCCCTCTGCTGATGATCTGGACGGCCTCTTTTTTTTTTTTTTTTTTTTATCTTTTTTTTTTTTTTTTTTTTTTGAGACAGGGTTTCTCTGTGTAGTTTTGGAGACTTTCCTGGAACTCACTCTGTAGACCAGGCTGGCCTCGAACTCACAGAGATCCGCCTGCCTCTACCTCCCAAGTGCTGGGCTTAAAGGCATGTGGCACCACCACCTGGCTTTGGACAGCCTCTCTTAATCTTAGGTAAATGTGCAGCTCTACTGAATGAGGTGCGTGTTATTGTCCTCATATCCCCGATGGGAAACCTGAGTGCTTCAAGGGACAGTGGAATGGCTATGGCTTTGGAAACAACAGATGTCATTCAGGAGAGGAGTGCTTGAAGCAGGGGCCATGACTGTCTTCACTGGGGTCAGCAGGCCATCGTGTGTCAAGGAACAGGATGCTCTAAGGAGGAGACATTTGGGTTGGGGACATGGCTCAGTCATATTGCAAGTTTGGGGACCTGAGTTTGATTTCCCCCAGACCCATTTAAAAATCAGTATCGAGGCTGAGAGGCGGAAGCGGGAGGATGTGTGAATGCAGCCATTGCAGCCTAATTGGTGAGCTGCAGGTCAGTGGGAGACGGTCTCAGAGGAAGTGGATGGTGTTCTGGAGGATGGCACCCAAGGCCATCTACCGGCCTCCACATACATGTGCACACATACTGTGCACCCACATGAGCACACATGAATACACATGCTCTATGAAAACCAAAAGACAACATTCATGGACCCCCAAACAAACCCCGGGATGTTGAAAATGTAAGGGCCAAAATGAATAACTGTGCTGCGTGGATGGTTAGGAGAGAAGAATGTTGAGGGCGCCGCCCAGAAGATAGAAGAAAAGGGAAGAGAAGAAAATGAATAACCTCATGGGCTAGCTGTAGAACTTCAACAAAATTAATAATGTAGTGGGCTAGCCTCTGAACTTCAACATCCAAACTTCAGGATATAATAGGGAGGAATAAGATGTAAGGAGATAACTGGGCGGTGGTGGCGCACGCCTTTAATCCCAGCACTTGGGAAGCATAGCCAGGCGGATCTCTGTGAGTTCAAGGCCAGCCTGGGCTACAGAGAGAGTTCCAGAACAGGTTCCAAAACTACACAGAGAAACCCTGTCTCAAAAAACAAAAAACAAAACAAAAAAAGAGGTAAGGAGACATTTGAAGATAGAGTCCAGTGTGTTAATTTTTGGTTTATAGAAGGTGGGCTTTGGGGGTCTATCTCAGAGTCCTATCGTAGCATATGAGGCTCAGGTCCCATTCCTGGCACCGTGAAGAAACAAGACACCAGATAGAGAGAACTGGAAAGTCCGCAGCCTGACTGACAGAAACAGACATGTTTGTGCACACCATGACATCATCAAATACAGGGATCGTGTAAGCTTCCAAATGTGGAAAAACGAGGCCACTGACCAAAGGTCAAAGATTAAAACCCACCAACCAAAAAACAAACAAACAAACCAAACAGCAAGAAAAAACCACCCGGAGGCCCTGACACCACCATGGCCCAGGCTCCCCAACTCCGGAGAAAGTTTTCCTTCCTACAGCTCAGCACAGATCAAATGATGGTGCTGAGCCCAAGGGCAGAAGGAAAACAGTTACCTGACATGCAAAGCAGCCGAACCTTTACCCTCCCGTCCACAGCTGTCTCAGCTCCTTGAGGCTCTCTTCCATGGGAACCATAGGGGACTGTAGACGGAAATGTCTCCCGTCCTGCCTTGCCCAGCAGCCGCTTATAAAATAATCACTCAGAGGCTTCTATTAATTACGAACTGTATGGCCTATGGCTTCAGCTTCTGGCTAGCTAACTCTTTCATCGTATATTAACCCATTCCTATTGAGCTCTATGTTGCCACGTGGCCGTGGTGTGACCGGTCTGCTGACATCTGGTTGCTCTTTTGGTGGAGGTGGCTCACGTCTCCCTCGACTCCACCCTTTTCCTCTCTGTATCTCACTTGGATTTCCCGCCTGGCTGCAAGCTTTCTTGCCATAGGCCAATACAGATTTATTTATTATCCAATGGGAGTCACACATGCTCACAGCATACAGAAAGACACCCTACAACAGGGAACACCCAGGGAAAGCAGCAGTGACCACAGGAGAACATCTAGCATGTGGTCAGGACCCTGGTGGTGGTGATCAGGAAGCCAAGGGGACCCGGGAGTGAGGGGATGTCAGTGGGTCGATGATGTCATCATTACACACTGCTGTTAAACACACTGTCTTGTTGACCTTGTGACGCTATTAGTGGATACATGCCAGCAAAACAAGGGAGGGATCCGAGAAAGAGGGAGCCCACCGGTCACCCCAAATTAGAATCTCAGCTCTGAGGAAAGGCAGAAGGAAAGACAGACATCCATGGTGCCAGTCAGGTGAACGAAGAGGTAAGCCTCCATGAGGGATGGCACTGAGGAGTCAGCCTCCTATCTGAGCATCTTTGAGGAGAGTGGGATGGACCAACAAGGAACACCAAGTGAAGGCTAAAAAAAACCCTGCACGTAGTGGCGGCGCACACCTTTAATCCCAGTACTCCGGAGGCAGAGACAGGTGGAGCTCTGAGTTCGAGGCCAGCCTGGTCTACAGAGTGAGTTCCAGGATGGCCAAGGCTACACAGAGAAACCCTGTCTGAAAAAATGAACAAAAACAACAACAAAAATAATTTGCTCCAGAAGAAAATAAGGAACAAATGACCGTGGCATCTCCCTGCCCTCATCTATGAAACGAGCAGGCTGAATGCAGCATCTGCTGTGCAGGAGACTGGAGAGGGGCCTGGACAGAGCAGCTGTGTGACGGCTAAGCCTCCTGTCTCGAGATGGGCAGGCCACAGGCGGCATCTCCGACGGACGGCTCAGGATAGTGTGTATGTGTGTATGTGTGTGTGTGTGTGTGTGTGTGTGTGTGTGTGTGTGTGTAGGATGCACACGCACACACTCTCTGGACACTGGTTTTGCCCTCCTAGCCCCGGGCTCCAACCCTGCCCTGGAGGCCCCAGGCTTCCTCCTTCATGGCTCCTGTCTTTCCCCTGCGCAGGCCCAGCATGTCTGGACTCCACCTGGTGAAGAGAGGCCGTGAACATAAAAAACTGGACCTGCACAGAGATTTCACCGTCGCGTCCCCAGCTGAGTTCGTCACCCGCTTTGGAGGCAATAGGGTCATTGAGAAGGTGAGTCCTGTGGGCTGCCGGTGTGTGTGTGTGTGTGTGTGTGTGTGTGTGTGTGTGTGTGTGTGTGTGGCGGGGAGGGGGGGGTCATTGAGAAGGTGCAGATGAGTCCTGTGGGCTGCCGGTGTGTGTGTGTGTGTATGGGTGGGTCATTGAGAAGGTACAGATGAGTCCTGTGGGCTGCCGGTGTGTGTGTGTGTGTGTGTGTGTGTGTGTGTGTGTGTGTGTCATTGAGAAGATGCAGATGAGTCCTGTGGGCTGCCGGTGTGTGTGTGTGTGTGTGTGGGGTCATTGAGAAGGTACAGATGAGTCCTGTGGGCTGCCGGTGTGTGTGTGTGTGTGTGTGTGGGGTCATTGAGAAGGTGCAGATGAGTCCTGTGGGCTGCCGGGGTGTGTGTGTGTGTGTGTGTGTGTGTGTGTGTGTGTGTGTGTGTGTGATTGAGAAGGTGCAGATGAGTCCTGTGGGCTGCCGGGGGGTGGGGTGTGTGTGTGGGGTCATTGAGAAGGTGCAGATGAGTCCTGTGGGCTGCTGGGGGTGGCCCCTTTCCTTGGTTGGAGGCCCAGTGTCAGACTCTTCCTTCACACTTTAGAGGGAGGGTAAACCACCGCTTGGGACACTTGCTTGACTTCGGGAACTTTTCATCCCTTCTCCCAAGCATGGGTGCATTACCCCATTCCTGAGAAGGGGAGACCGAGGCCCTGGGCTTGGTCAGGAGGTTCCTGGGTGTTATATTGCAGGTGTGGATTCACGTGGGTCCGTGGAAAGAAGACCCAGAGGCACGCACCTAAGGATGACTTTTAGCCTTTCCAGCTGCAGGGGATCAGTCTCTCTGGACTGACTCACTGTCCCTGAGCAAAGGGCCTTTTTATTGTTATCCAATTCACACCTTTAGCAAGTCAATTTCTGTATACCAAAACCTCTAATCCAAGCTCCCCAAAGAGACAGTCCCAACCAAGTTTTGCATAGGCTTTGCACCTTTGGAAACTCTCAGACAAGAGTCACACATTTCAAAGGGAAGGTACTGGAGACGAAAGGTAGCAGTCACAAAAGGCAGGTTAAAGCCAGGTGCTAACACTCTGGAGTCAAACCAGCTGCAGATCTGCAGGAGCTCTCCCTGCATCTGGGTGCTCTGGGAGGTGTGTGGCTGCTTCCTGGGCCGGTGTTAGGAAAAGTATAGACTCCTCGCCCACCTCCCCTGGCCCCCTGAGATTAGGCTTCCTAGAGGACAGGAGACCAGGCTCTATAGTGACATCATGGATGGGCTGCAGCAGAGCGAATGTTGCCATGTGTGATGTGTATTGTGACCCTAATTAGTCTTATCAGTTAAAACCAGGAGTCAGATACTGGGGTGATAACCTGAAAGATCAGAGAAGCAGAGCAGCAGCCACTAGAGATTTCTTACCTCTGTGAATCCTCAGACCCAATGGGGGCTGAGATCCTGTCTCCACCTCCTGATTGTGCTGGGATCAAAGGTGTGAGCCTCTCAAGTTCTGGGATCCAAGGTCTGAGCCTCCCAAGTTCTGGGATCAAAAGTGTGAGCCTCC